ACAGTGTTTCATGTCTAATCTTGCTGGCCACGTGACCACAGAAACTGTCTTCGGACAAACGCTGGCTCTATGGCTTGGAAACGGGAATGAGCACCACCCCCTAGAGTCGGACACGACCGGACATTTGTCAAGGGGAACCTTTACTTATATTGAGCTTTTGTTGCTGTTGCTTTCAAAATATTCTTCATTTTCACTGCCTTAAGTAAAAATTTTTTTGCTTGTACTGATATAATCATTTAGGCTTCTTCTTCTACTACAGTGGTGCCTCGCATTACGAGCGCTCCGTTTTATGACGAAATCGCTTTACATCGAGGTTTTTGCAATCGCAAAATGGTGTTTCCTATGGGGGAATTTCGCTTTGCGATGATCGATTCCCTGCTTCGGGAACCGATTCTCGCAAAGCGATGATTTTCAGCCAGTGAAAATGGCCGTGCTATGGAGAATCTTCGCTGGACGGTGAGTTTCAAGCCCCTAGGAACGCATTAATCGGGGTTTAATGCGTTTCTGTGGGCTTTTTAATTTTGCATTACGTTTTCGTAAGACAGCGATTTCGCTGGAATGAATTAACGTCGTAATGCGAGGCACCACTATACTATTACTACTACTGCTACTGCTGCTGCTGCTGCTGCTACTACTACTACTACTACTACTATCATCATCATCATCATCATCCTCAGTGGCCAGTATCTTTTCCAAACTTTGCTTAGGGAATAAGATGTTGATTTATGTGGCCTCTACAGCTTTGTTGTCCAGCACTTTGCTGACATGCCCTACTTGTCTCCCACAATTGCTATTGGAGAGGGCAGCATCACTTTGCCTAATGAAAGGGCTGGCACTCGTTCTGAGTAAGATAACTTGAATAAAGGTGAAGAAACTGAAAATTCTGCTGAATGCTTTAAGTGAAGTAAAGGGAGGGTGTTGTGAGATGTTTTCAGGCAGCAGAGAAAAGGATAGGGAGGTTAATCTGAAATCTTTGCTCAGGAGCCCATCAATCTTCCCAGCAGCACTGCAAAATGAAGATAAGAGGCAGGACTTTTCTATATATTTCCCAGGCCACAGAAAGGCAATTGTTCTGGCTGATTCTACCTCCAGCCCCCCCACCCCACTTCAAGGGAATCAATCATCTTCCAGAGTTGGAGACAAATTCTATTTCTTTTTCACAAAAAGGGGAGGGGAATCATTGAATCAAGATTTCCAAGTCAATGCTCGTATTTTGAAGTCCCAGCAGCACAAATTCCAAACTAATACTGCCCCCTCCATTGGAAAGCTGGCCCAGTATCCCACTAAACAGTAATAGCGAAACCTTTATGGAAGACCAGATTCTTTTGCTGTACAAAATCCACGTGGCTTGATAGGTGGTGTTCTAAGATGAGGTTTGGCTAGAAAAAAGGGTACAGTATATTCAAGACAGGAAGGACTCGGTCTCAAAACCTGTTTGCAATACAAAATCGGAAATGGACAAGATAATGAGGATAATCAAGGATGCAAATCCTGTATAGGGGAAAAATTACAACTGAGAGGGCAATCACAGCAGAAGTACAGAATAGGGATGCAAAATGTTTGATTCTTCAGGTACTTTTGTCTCCAACTCCTATCAGATTGGCGGATAGAAAAAGGATTGTGAGAACTCTAGTCCGAAGCTTGTAGAGCACCAGAGATACCTTCACCACCAGTTTAGAAGATCACTGCAGATAAAGGAACACAGGGACAAATTAATCAGATTCAGCTAATGAAATATATAAGCAGAAAATAAGTTGAACAAAAGCAGACCTTCTTAAGGTCTTGTGGAATTAACACACAGAAGCCCTGTTGGTGAAATGTTCCAACAGCTGTCCAGGAGGACATAACTTTTAACATGGATTCATTAAATACAGTACTTGAAGGATAGGTGTGTCAAAGGCTATTAGCCGTAACAGTCAGAAGTACAACATCCCCGTAATCCAATGTTTGAGAGTGAATGGGAGAGCTCTCTCGCTCTTTTTGTTAACCTTCTTGGAGCATGTTATTTGGCCTTTGTTTGGGAGACAGAATGCTGAGTCCAAGGGACTACTGGCTAGACCCAGGATCACAGTCTACCAATGCAGAGGAGTAGTTAGAACAGGGATGTGGTCTGCCAGAATTTGTTGCAACGTGTGGTCTTCCATATGTTAGGGGAACTGCAGTTCCCAGTGATTTAGGTATACAGTATGGCTGAGGATCCAGAGGTTGGAAGTTCAGTTCCCTACTATGCCTCCTTGACAACGACTGGACTCAATGATCTATAGGGTCCCCCTTCCACATTCCTGGGCTAGTTATAACACAGTTATCACATGGAATGTAAGATAGAAAAAAAGACTTGGATTTTTAATGGAAACTTTTTAGTTTTCAGCAACTACTTAATTGGCGTTCTTCATGCCTATTGTAATACATCTATTAAAAATATGTTATGTTAAAGGGGGGAAGGGGCAGGTGGCAACAGCTTTTCATAGCACCAAAAAAGTTCATCAGATTTTTCTGATGATTTTATCCCAATTGGTAAATGGCCAGGATGGAAGCCTGAAATGTCTTTTTTCACATCTAAAAGGCACCAGATAGTGTTTTTTTTTTCTATACTTGTAGCCACCCTCCCTTTTTCAACATAAAAATTGGAATTCTCTCTCCCTCTTTTTCAGGAAGCAGAGACTAAATTGCTAAAAGAAGAAGGGAGGGAAAGCTTCCTGCTACATGAAACGCCTCTTTATATATAGAATTTCTGTTCTATCCTCTGTTACCAAGCCTGGGGGGAAAAAGTGGTCTCACTGAGAGAGATATATAACTAGATCATTCT